TCTGCTGCTAGAAATCCATGAGATTCACATGAATAGATAGGGTCCCCCTTGAGGATTTTGACGGACAGCTGATTTAAGAACACCCGTCATACACTGACAAATGGTGGACCTAAAGTAAGGTCGGCTGGAACGATCTTCTGACTCGAATGGTATGGCGGTATCTCTCTGTGACAGAGTATGACCAGCAATCCCAGCTCTCTTCTGAGTGCCTTACATACAAGGAGGAGGGCCCAAAAGGCTACATTGACCCTTTCGTCAAAGTCGAGGATGAGTTCTACTTGAAATCCAAAGACGTGCCTCAGCTGTGGAGAACACGCGCCAGCTTCACCGACCATGGAACGCAGCTGACCGGCACCATGTTTACAGAGGCGGATGGCAAAAACGCGATTAATGCGACCATTGTGTCAAGAGGTCTGGATCACGAGACCCGGTATACTTTCATGTACAGCCATCATGTCAACTCAGCGGTTTCATATCATGATGAAATTATTTGGAAGCTCTACGAGGGAAGCTGCAAGACGGTGCCCAGCTTCAGGCAGGGGCATGTCTAGACATGGTCCTGTGAGTTTTGCAGTACTGCTACATGCTTCTCAAACAACCCCTAAACTCTAAACCCTAAAGCACGGATTTCGGGGATGCACCCCCAATACTGATATCTCTTTTTTATCAGTACCCTCAAGCGCAGACCCAGAATTTTCAGAAACTCCCTTGTACCCTAGACCATAAACCCTAACCCGAAACCCTAAGCCCGAAATCACTGCAGAGACTTGGTCCCCACAGCTTCTCCAACCTCTGCTCAACAGGAATCATGGGGTCCCTACTCTTGATGAGGAATACGAGGAATTAGGGTTCAGGTTTGGGATTTAGTTAATTAAGTAGTATAGGGGGTAGTAGGAGGGCCCATGAAGGAATGTGCCGGAAGTCTGCGTTGACGATCTGCTGGCAGTGGAGTATGGATGTGGGTATGCTGAGCTGCCCACCAACAACGGCCGGGAGCAAGAATAGGGCCCAACTCTTTCAGCCGGAACTGTGAGGCTGTAGCTATTACGCCCCGATTATGATCCCCAGTAAGGGGAGGGGGGTTATTGATCAGGGGTTTGCAGTGCACGTCAAGCTCTTGCGGCGCTGGTCCAAAATGGCGGGACCGTCTTCGAACTAGGAATCTTGGTTTGAGGTTTGAATGAGGGTCGCTTTTTTTTTGTTGCGCCGGATATGTATCGGATGTTGAGATGATGTTTTTTTCTTTAAATAGGTTCATGGACATTCGCGCTGGTGTCTGCATTGAGGGAACCTACTGCAAGATGCCTCACAAGTCTAATGTAGGTATCTAGGCGGCTCAGTACTAGAGGACAGCTAGGACACCGATTCGAGGACCAAGTGCATGAATGAAAGTTGCTTACCTAAATCCTAAACCTTATTGGGGGTAGACGGGTTTATGGTTACCGCAAACCCTGAACTCTTAACCCTGAACCCTATAGTAAAGAACCTCAAGTTAAACAACCCTGAGCCTAAGACCTTCGAAGCCTCGCTAGCCTTAAAACCTGCAAGCCCAAAATCCTCAGCATAGCGTTTAGGATTTAGGATTCGCTAAGCTCTTTCAATCCTAAACCCCATGAGCCCTAAGCCTTTGCACCCGCAAACCCAGCCAAGACCAACTATCAGCCCTTAACCCGCGAGCCCCTAAACCCAATAAGCCCCTAAACCCTGTAAACCCTAACCCGAAAGCTCAAGGCCCAACAGCATGCGCTGCCTCCTGGCGAGTCGGCCATGCGCTTAGAGCGGCTAGGCAGGTCCTACGACGGCAAGCTCTTTAAAAGGGGGCGCTAGGGTTCAGGGTTTAGAGTTTAACTACAGGGTACACGGGGCCTAGGGTGGAGCCGAGAGAGCATACATAGGAGAGCCGTGCAATGACCATCTTACAGTTATCAGGTCCTTGTTGTAGGATTGGTTGGTTTGGTGTTGGCTAAGCCTGGAGCCGAAGTTAGCACTGAGGGGGCGCAACATGTCATCAACTAGCCTCGATGAAGGTCTTTGGACCTTGTGCAGGCCAAAACCCTCAATCCTAGTCGTTCAGGCTCGGCACGAACACTACATAGATCCAGGAACCCCGAATTCTTCAAGCAGAAAGGCTCTTAGACCCTGCGACGGCAGTTCATCACACAATGATGAGCCTAAACCCCAATTCCAGAGTTCCAGGGTCGAAATTACCCCTTGGGGCGTACCCCTGGCTTGTCGGCTCACTTCGAGGACAGCTAGGGGACCATATATGGGGTTTAGAGTTTAGGGTTTAGGGGTTCAGGGTTTAGGGTTGACGAGGTTAGGCTTTAGCGTTCGTATAGGGGCCGCATTATTGGGAATACATTGCCGCATCGTTCAGGGGGATGAATGTAGGGGTGCAACCCTACAACTCTCCAGAACCCTAAGCCCTACGTAACCCCTAAACCCTAAGCCGCTAAACCCTAAATCCTAAACCCCAAACGCATCGGCCTTAAACTCAACCCTGAACCTGCATCCCATCAGGCAGGCGGCGCAAAGGCCGGCTGGCTTAAACACAAACCTTCATCCCTAAACTCTAACACCTAAAGCCTCAGCCTTCAACCCTATAAACTATAAACCCTAAACCCGAACCTCCTAAACCCTAAATCCTAAAGCCTTAAAAAAAATCCCAAACCCAAAAAAGAAACCCTAAAGCCCCCTAAACCTGAAACCCTGAAACTTGAGGCCTTCTCCGTCTTTGCGGCCTCCGCAGTGCCCTAGGGTCCTAGGCCGTGGTCAGACCAGGGTGAATGAAGGAAGCAGGGTGCGAGGTTTAGGGTTGAGGGTTCAGGGTTTAGGGTGTATGGGCATAGGGTTCAGGGGCTAGGGTTTAGGGTTTAGGGTTGGGGTTTTAGGTCGTCCCGCAAGGGTCCAGGTGCTAGTTACCCAAATACTGGGGATTTATTTCGGCTTTCAATACTATGAGCTGAATGGTTTTCGGCGCCTAAGAGCTTGTTATTTGGGTGTGTAGACCCTTTCGGATAATTACACCCCCATCTCCCTAAGAATACTCCCCCCTTGGCACAGTAGTTTTCTATTAGCGCTACGGGACGAGGATTCTCCAAATACCGCTGCTACCGGAGTGCCAGGTGTGACATGAAGGTGCTCGAAGCTTCCTACGTCCGCAGCAACGCTGCTTGGAATTACCGATTGTGACAAAGGAACGGGCTGCCTACGGGCCTGAGTGACTGCCATACGTGAGCCTGCTATTCACGAGTGCCTGCCGGTTCTGATCTGTTGCTTGTGCTCTGGCTGTTGCTGCTGCCCTGTCATTAGTAAGTGTTTCATTTGTAGCAGGGTGGATAACGCAACGTATTGCTTATTGCTTCCTTGTCGATCGTGCTATCAGAATGCTCTATTAACTCGGGAGTTTTCAAACATCGGGGTCCTTCACAGTCGAAAATCCTGATCATGGGGACCCCATTAAAAGAAGCCTCCTCTATTTGTGTGTCCATCGGGAGCACTTTCGTTGCTGCCTGTGCAGTTTGTACAGTTCGCGCCGCTCGCGCCAAGACCAGAGGGTTTCCCAGCATTAGGGGTACCCCTACAATGAGGGCTATAGATGATAGTACGTTGGTGTCTATATTAGAGCCCCCCCCCTGTTTTGGCAAACTACTGCATGAGAAGGGACGTTTCATTATGGAACAATTTGTATGTAAAGTAACAGAAAAAGCATTCGTAATAGTCATATAGTCATTTTTAAGATTTAGAAACAAGAGTATTCTCAATCTTCGTGGCAACGCCAAGATTAACCGTCACAGTAATGGAATGTCATAGTAGGAGGAATAAGGGTTCCTTGAACCTTAAGTCCTAAACCTAATAACGAAAGTAACTGTACAGAAGGCTTACCTTGACTTGCATACTCTCCCCTACACCCCTCAGGGTTCAGAGTTCAGGGTTTACTCCTCAAAGGGTATATATTTTTAGGGAATTCTGTAGGGCTTAGGGTTCAGGGTTTAGGGTTAAGAGTTTATTCGGGGTACCAGCATGGGCTATAAAACCTTGAAATACTTTATTCGGACCCTGATGAGGGTAGGTGAAGGGGCGGATAAGGGCCAATTGCCAATCCTGGTAGATCCTGCACCCTAAACCCTTAACCTTAAACCCCTAAACCCTAAACCCCAACCCCTAAATCCTAAACCCTAAACCTTAACCCCTAAATCCTAAACCCCAACCCCTAAATCCTAAACCCTAACCCCTAAATCCTAAACCCTAGACCCTAAACCCTAAACCCTTGAGCCTAAACCTTTGACACTCCACACCTTGGTATACCTGCAAAGCTC